TTTTGCTATGGTCAACCGTACCTTGCATGGAAGTCACTGACTTGTCTGCAAATACTCAAACTCACACTGTGTTTGCTTTCAAAATGAAAGATGTGCTTTACCCCTGCAACCATATAAAAAAGTGCAACTTCTACTCTGCAGGCAAACGGTCTCCATTTCCAGTTTGCGTTGCACACTTCAGTTCCATGACAGCTGAACATAGCTTTGTTGCCAGCTGTTTGCAGGCAAGTTGGCATCTTCTATGCAATCTATAGATGACTGCGGCAACTTACTACTCACCAGCTGATCAGGGAACCCACTTTTCTCCCTAGCAACCAGTGATTACCACGAGGGTCATTAACCAGTCTCTAGGCCTCCAAAACGGAGGCCTTAAACTTTAGACTTAGGTTTACGGTCAGTAGCATGGCCACTTCGAGGAGGTTGAACCTTACAAGATGCCTCCTCTAATCAGTTTTTCTGGTGTTGGTTTGTTTTGGAGCATTTGTATAGCAATTATCTGAAGCTTATGTCTTTTTGTGCCATTAATTGTCCTAACATCCAAGAAGAATTTTAGTGCATGAGATTCTGCTATTTAATTTATGTGTTAAGTTAGCACGAGTTAGCCAATATCCATGGTTTGTAGATTTATCAAACAGTCTCAGCACACTAGCAATATGCATCTTTTATATAGCCCTTGTTTTTTTCCTATACAAGATTGTGGTGATTGACAATAACAAAACATTCCTCATAATTTCAGAAGACCATTTTTTGTCCAATGTTATTTTACCTACCTAGTCTAAATCTCAAAGCTGCCAGTGGTCCACCATGAAAAGAAAGTGCGAGCATATCTGTCCCCTCTGGGCCTCCATCCAAGCCAGTCGCCCATTGCAGTCCTGCCAGGCCTCCAGAACAGCGCAGGTGCTGAGCTAGTCTTAACGTGGGAGCTGAAGCTACCTCCTCTGATACGAGCGCCATATTTACAGGTGCCAAGCCCACATCAAAGCACATCAGCTCCTCCTGTCCTCCCCCTACCATGACAACAGCCCCAGCAGGGTGCCAGGCGAGGAGGGTGGCCGGCACGGGGCATGAGGCTAGGAAAGAGATCCCGCGTCGTTGGTCGTACAGGACTAAGGAGGAGTCACTTAAGCCAAGAAGCAGAGTGGTCTCAGAGGGGTGACGCGAGCAGGAGACTGGGTGAGATGACAGCGGGATTCGGGTGACTGAAAGGCGGTGCAGGCGTCCTCGTGCACATTCATACACACAGGTATCAGCCCAGGACTCCTCTCTGAATCCCTGAGGCCCTGCAGGTAACTCCACTGTTAGGACCTGGTAGGGCTGGAGCAGGCTGAAGCGGCAGTCCAGAGGGTTGCCTTCAGTGTGGACTGAGCTTAGGACCTGAAGGAGAAAAAAGTTAGAGAGGACAAGGGAACAGCTTCAGAAATAATGGCATGAAGAGAAATTTCGAAGTTGAAGAAAAATGATCTTGTAATCTTGTTTTGCACGGCTATATCCTGGCATGTAATGTTTCCACAGGAAATTGAAGCATGTGTGAAGGATCGTGGTACGCCTGTCTACAGACATCCCCGGTGGAAGCTTCACAGTTTGGTCTGGCAAATTCCTTTCTGAGATGGAATCTATATATGAAAATTAAGTACACATATTCACAGAGGATGATTTGTAATAATAATTTGCTTGACCCAAGATGCCTCATTTGCTGTTCAAACTTTCTGTTTACAAGAGGCAGCCAATCAGAAGACAACTGGATTTAAATCAGCACATTTCAGACCGGACATGAACTGTAGGGGGCCACCAAGGCCCAGTATGAGGAGAGGATTATTTTAAACAGTCAATCAAGCACAGCTACTGTAATAAAGGGCAAGAAGAGCAATGTGGAGTTTGAAATCAACATAGTCCTCCTTCCTGATACAGGCATGCCAGCATGCTGAAACAAGATTTGAAGGATGATGTCTTCTCTCAGTGTCGAGGAACAAAAACATTACTGTAAACTTTAGGGGAAGAGGACTGCATCTACTGTAGATCAAGTGTATTTTAAAAAATGTTTTTATTAGTCTGTATTCATCATCAAAGATCTTTTAATTTTTGTTGCTGTTTTAACATGCTCTTCAACTTGAAACCTGTTTTGTGCTGCAACTGTTATTGAACTAACCTGTTTTGGAATAAAACGGCAGAGACAAAGACAGAACACGTGAGAGAAAGACAGGAATGAGTCATGCCGTGGCAGCAGCCCCAAACCCCCTGGAGATGGAAGAAATGGAGCCTTCCATATTGCTCATAAACACCCAGCTGTCAATCAAGACAGCTAATGATAAGAGCTCTATTTTAACTCAAGGTCAACAACATCTTCTCCCTAAGCATACCATGGCTTGGCACATAATGATAAACAACCTCCTCTGTTTACCTGTGTGAGGAGCCAAGAGCTCAGCAATAGACATGGCAAATGACAAGAAAAGGAGCCCTTTTCACTGGATACATGAAGAAATCTTGAATTTTTTTGACCAGTGGTCAAATGCAAAATGTAGATTATTTCTGCCTGGCCTACAACCAGTTTGCGTGGGTACAATGGTCCTGCTATGCAAACAAGCACTGACATTGAGGGAGACAGGCCGTGTCACGGGTGGTAGTGTCGATAAACACCCACAAGAAACCTGGAACAGTACGTGGATGACAGGAGAACACAGGCTGTACTAAACATCAGTCCAACAGTTACACAGTCACTAAAAGAGCTTTTTAGGAAGGATTTCACCTTACCAAAGCCTCTATCAGAGCCCTGCATTGACCGTGGCAGCTTTGGCTAAATGAGCCCATTTCTTTTCGCCGTGTAGACAGAAAGAAGGATCGGCTGCCTGCCTGCCTGCCTGCCTTCCTTTCCTTTTGCAAAGCTGCTCGGCCCAGTTTTTTGGCAGGCATTGCCAAAAAGGGACTTAGAGGGAGGAAGGCAGGTTTTTTTTGCCTGCCCATGGTCTACAGCAGGAGAGAAGCAGATGACTGTCCTCCTGAAAGCTTTTTTTCCTCCCTATAATCCCCCAGAGCTAGCTCCTGCTGCACCCCAGGGGGTGGGTGCTGCATGTGAATGTGTGTGTTTATTTGAAGCAGCAGGGTAGAGGGGCTCAATTCATGTAAAAGGTGGTGTATCCTGGGGCTGGTGCAGTTCTCTGGATAGCTTAATTTCTGCAAAGTGACACATGCGTGAAAATAAACGAGCACACAAATGCATAGCAGGTGAGGGTCCATCGTATTCACCCTACAGAACGCTGGACTCATAAGACCTACCTCAGTGCCACAAACCGTGACACCCCCCACCCTTCAACTACATCTCATCCTTTCAGCTTTTCATCGCATGCCCGGCTTGCTAGTGCCCGCTGCCTGCTGTGAGCCTGCATGCCACCATGGCACCATCGGGGGGCTGAGGTGCAGCTGACTCAGCTCCGTTTCACCTGACAGATGACCCTCCAAGAACAGGGATCAGAGGGCAGAGGCAGCTAAAGTTCTGAGCCAACAAATAAATACTACATGGGCGGATTCAACCTGCAGCAGCCACTATTTACATTTTTAAAAATGTACAACGTGCACAAAAAACATGTATGACGTGAGAAAATAACATCATGTTCAACCCAAGTTGGGATATTCATAACACAGCTGATGATAATTGCTTTATTACACTCTCAGCCCCTCTATAAATATTTCTGACCAACATTATTCACAGTTTAAATATTAAACCAGCTTTAGCACCATTGCACATAATATTCATCATCTAATCCTGCTCTGTGGCACATTTAATTCAGAATTGGTATCAAGAAAGTAAAAGAAAAAGATTAAAGTCACTAGAAAAGTGGATTATGGAAGTCAGAATCCAGGCTACTGAACTGTTTCAATAGAGACAGTGGCTGTGAAAAGTCCCTGAGTCTATCAATCCATGAGCGGCTGCAGGTCATAATCCCATAACCCCCCCTGCCCCACCACCAATAAAAATATTTAAGTTATTTAAGACAGCAGTCCCCAACCTTTTTTGCACCATGGACCAGTTTATGTCCGACAATATTTTCCATGCACTGCCCTTTAAGGTGTTGCGGATAAATACAACAAAATAAAACCAGTAATTGTACCAAAAAAAAGAAGATTTATTTATAACACACGGGAAAAGACCCAGGGAAACCGAGTTAGTGATTAAAACGATGAAAAAAATAACACTAAAAACCGTTAGAAACCCTGAAAACCATGAATTTCACTCCCAAGCCTCAACTCTCGTGGCCCAGTACCAAATGACTCACAGACTGGTACCAGTTCGTGGCCCGGGGGTTGGGGACTGCTGTTTTAAGAAGTTCAAAAACACAAAGATCAAGAAGAAGTGGCAATCCTGAACAGTTGACTGCTGAAGTGAGCAGATGATGGCTCCGTTAAACTGTAGGAGGTGATTAGCTGCCACAGTGTGAGCCCACTATTCCCCTAGTGGGCTCACAAAGATGCTCTGACTTTAGGTTTATCACACAATCACGCTCTCTCTATTTGAGTCTCATCCATTTTCCCAATCTTAATGTGATGCATATGGTACGACCTCAAACCAGTTGGACACCTCAAGGAGATTTTTGGCTGATTTGTTGAGAGTGCATTATTGGTACATTCATCAAAACATTAAGGGGGTAGCATCTCTTGGAAGAGTGGTCTTCCATCCCTCCAGTACTGTGTTTGGTTATATATCTGTCACTCTTTTGTATTTCATATAGTTACAATGAATATTCTCATGGAGTGCCGTCATTTCACCATTTCACTTTTTTATGCATTGACCTGTGTATTTAAATATGTTGTATTTACTGGCCTTAAGTATAATAGTGCCTCAAATATTTTAGTGGATGCATTTGATAGTGCTAAAAGCGACATTCAGTGCCAGAAGCACCCACACTCCTACAGCCAGTGTAGTTGCATTGTAACTCCAGGTAATCTTTAAGTCGAAGGTACGCCTCATATTCCATCATCTGGACTGAGCAAAGTCAAGCAAAATGTCCCTGAAGGCAACACAACGGATTAGGAGATTTAAGAAAATTCAAGACTTGCAGGGTTATGGAGGATTCTGCCTTTCAGGGCCAAAATATAATCTTGAAATGCTAACATTACTCTAAAGACCAGAAAGGAAGAAAGACAAACGATAAAACTGTTGACCTGCAGTTGGCTGTGTGAGCTCTACAATAAGATGTAGGTGATGTGTTACTCTTTAGATTTTAAACAGACTTAGCATAGCACAGTAAATATTTACAAATCACTGGGACTTCATCATTTACAAAGCCAAATCTTTTTCACCTCTTTTAACAAGCTGCCCTTAAACAACAATCGACCTGTAAAAAAGGTGTAGAGATGTGTCGTAATGTGTCCAGAAAAGCAAAGCTTTGTTTGCCTGTGAACTCTTCAGAGTATATTGTGGCATGTGAATGTACAGCATTCCCTGAATCTGGGAGCATAAAATAAAAAATGATGAATCAGGTCAAGAATGAGAGTGAGCAAGTGAGTGAACAGTTGTGCAAAAGAGAGACAGAGAAAAGGGGATGCAGACAGAAATATGTAGAAAAGATGATGAGAAAGAGTGGAAATGGAAAAGAATAAAGAGAGGAGAAAGATGCAAAGAGAGCAGAGACAAGGAGAGAGGGAGACAGACACAGAGAGAGAAAGAAAGACTTCTAGTAAGTAGCTTTCTCCTGGTTATTGGTTTCAGTGACTGGTCAAAACTATTCTTCTCCATTCTTCTCCTCTCTCTCTCTCACCGGCACCTTTTTTCCCCCTCCATGGCGTGAAAGATAAAGCGGACGGGCCCAACTGTGTGGCTGGCCCTTGTTCACAGCAGTGGCCTTTTGAAGCCAATTTTCCAGCTCACGGAGCAGAGAAAGACAGGGAGAGACGGATAGAGAGAGACGGAGGGACTTGGAGGAGAGTCGAGGGATGAGGGGTGTTTGGGGAGGCGGAGGGGGGGATAGCTGGGTGGGACTGGGGAAGTTTTAGGTATGTGATTTGGGGTTAGAGTTGAAGTACTGATGTGAGAAAATGCACAGGCACAGCGGGATTACGAACCAAAATATTCCTCATACCTTCCCCGGCTGAAAATAACGGAGGGAATATCGTTCACTGGACGCAAAACTGTACCAGCAGTGCTCCCAGTGTGATGTTTAAAAAGCAGCGGAGCTTGGGGGTAAATCGACACTTTGGATTCAGCACCAGACCCTTTCATGGTACAAATTATTGTGCAGTGCATTTCTGAAACGTGCTTTAATTCTTCATATTAAGACTGCAGCTTTTAATTTTTAAGGAGCAAGTCTTGCCAGCAATCTTGCTTCAAAAGCACCCTTACTCTTCATCACAGTGTTCTTGAAGTGAAGAATAAATAAAATATAGATTAGAAATTATTTAATTTCTATGAATTATTTTTTTTTGGCTCTACTCTTAAGTCAAAAAATAATTAAAAGACAGCACAAATCAACAAACAAATGCAGATCAAACAACTACAGACTGTTTGGTGACAGATAACAGGATAGACATACAGTTAAAAAAAAGTGTTTGGAAATAATCGGGGGAAAAAAGCAAAAGCAAACAAAACATTCATCTCACTTCATTTAAGATTATTCAATTCCAGGAAATGGCTGATTTATGTGTTTGTTTGGAGGGGGAGGGTGTATAAAGTATGAAGGAAGGATCATTAAAAATGTTAACTGGCTCCTGCATAAAAACCAACTGTGTATGTTTTCCTCTCTTTACCCCCCCACGTTCCGTGGCTCCATTTATCAGCATGAGGAGGGAGGAGGTGGTGAGGGGGGTATACGAATTAAGACCACATAGGGAAAGAAATCAGACTTTTTTAAATGCCGAGACTGGCTAGAAAATTGGCTTAGTGCGGCAGATAGCGAACTGAACAAAAGGAACATATATATGAGCTTGAAGTGATTGAAGTAGCTGGCGTCGCCCGATGTGTGCCCAGCATTTGATTCCCGCTACGGCTCTTACATAAACTGCTCGCTTAATTTCACACCGCGCATCTGAAAAATGACAACAAACGCTTTCATTAGAGAGCGATGGCGCAGCCCCATGAAGAGACTTTAATGTTCTTGAAGCGAGGAGGAAGGAAGGAGGAGAAGGATGGGGGG